AGGAATACAGTTCAGCATGTATACAGTATAGTACAGGTAAACACAGACCATGCAGGATAGCAGTCTAGCATGTATACAGTGCACAGTACAGGTAAACACAGACCATGCAGGAATACAGTTCAGCATGTATACAGTATAGTACAGGTAAACACAGACCATGCAGGAATACAGTCTAGCATGTATAACAGTATAGTACAAAACACAGACCATGCAGGAATACAGTCTAGCATGTATACAGTATAGTGTGTAAACACAGACCATGCAGGAATACAGTCTAGCATGTATACAGTATAGTACAGGTAAACACAGACCATGCAGGAATACAGTCTATCATGTATACAGTACAGTACAGGTAAACACAGACCATGCAGGAATACAGACTAGCATGTATACAGCACAGTACAGGCAAACACAGACCATGCAGGAATACAGTCTAGCATGTATACAGTATAGTACAGGTAAACACAGACCATGGAAAAGAATACAGTCTAGCATGTATATACAGTATAGTACAGGTAAACACAGACCATGCAGGAATACAGTCTAGCATGTATACAGTATAGTACAGGTAAACACAGACCATGTAGGAATACAGTCTAGCATGTATACAGTATAGTACAGGTAAACACAGACCATGTAGGAATACAGTCTAGCATGTATACAGTATAGTACAGGTAAACACAGACCATGCAGGAATACAGACTAGCATGTATACAGTACAGTACAGGTAAACACAGACCATGCAGGAATACAGACTAGCATGTATACAGTATAGTACAGGTAAACACAGACCATGCAGGAATACAGTCTAGCATGTATACAGTATAGTACAGGTAAACACAGACCATGCAGGAATACAGTCTAGCATGTATACAGTATAGTACAGGTAAACACAGACCATGCAGGAATACAGCCTAGCATGTATACAGTACAGTACAGGTAAACACAGACCATGCAGGAATACAGTCTAGCATGTATACAGTATAGTACAGTGCACAGACCATGCAGGAATACAGTCTAGCATATACAGTATAGTACAGGTAAACACAGACCATGCAGGAATACAGTCTAGCATGTATACAGTATAGTACAGGTAAAACACAGACCATGCAGGAATACAGTCTAGCATGTATACAGTACAGTATTGTAAACACAGACCATGCAGGAATACAGTCTAGCATGTATACAGTATCTAGACAGTACAGGTAAACACAGACCATGCAGGAATACAGTCTAGCATGTATACAGTATCTAGACAGTACAGGTAAACACAGACCATGCAGGAATACAGTCTAGCATGTATACAGTATCTAGACAGTACAGGTAAACACAGACCATGCAGGAATACAGTCTAGCATGTATACAGTATCTAGACAGTACAGGTAAACACAGGCCATGCAGGAATACAGTCTAGCATGTATACAGTATCTAGACAGTACAGGTAAACACAGACCATGCAGGAATACAGTCTAGCATGTATACAGTAACTAGACAGTACAGGTAAACACAGACCATGCAGGAATACAGTCTAGCATGTATACAGTATCTAGACAGTACAGGTAAACACAGACCATGCAGGAATACAGTCTAGCATGTATACAGTATCTAGACAGTACAGGTAAACACAGACCATGCAGGAATACAGTCTAGCATGTATACAGTATCTAGACAGTACAGGTAAACACAGACCATGCAGGAATACAGTCTAGCATGTATACAGTATCTAGACAGTACAGGTAAACACAGACCATGCAGGAATACAGTCTAGCATGTATACAGTATCTAGACAGTACAGGTAAACACAGACCATGCAGGAATACAGACTAGCATGTATACAGTATCTAGACAGTACAGGTAAACACAGACCATGCAGGAATACAGTCTAGCATGTATACAGTATCTAGACAGTACAGGTAAACACAGACCATGCAGGAATACAGTCTAGCATGTATACAGTATCTAGACAGTACAGGTAAACACAGACCATGCAGGAATACAGTCTAGCATGTATACAGTATCTAGACAGTACAGGTAAACACAGACCATGCAGGAATACAGTCTAGCATGTATACAGTATCTAGACAGTACAGGTAAACACAGACCATGCAGGAATACAGTCTAGCATGTATACAGTATCTAGACAGTACAGGTAAACACAGACCATGCAGGAATACAGTCTAGCATGTATAAAGTATCTAGACAGTACAGGTAAACACAGACCATGTAGGAATACAGTCTAGCATGTATACAGTATAGTACAGGTAAACACAGACCATGCAGGAATACAGTCTAGCATGTATACAGTATCTAGACAGTACAGGTAAACACAGACCATGCAGGAATACAGTCTAGCATGTATACAGTATCTAGACAGTACAGGTAAACACAGACCATGCAGGTACACTCACTACTGGCAGTAAAGACAAAATAATTATCTAGTTCGCTGTTCTTCGTACAACACAATGGCAGAGGTTCAGAATGGTGGTGCAATTACAATGAAACTTTTAGAATAATTATACAACAAACGAACGAAACTTTATGAAATCTTGAAAGTTTCCCCAGTGTATCTACGTGTGTGTGTGTGTGTGTGAATGGGAGGGTAAGGGAGGGGTGGGTAGATGTATTGTAGGGGGATGGAGGAGTAGGTAGGTAGGGGGTGTTTGTGTAGGGGGAGGAGGTAGGGGGTGTTTGTAGTAGGGGAGGGTAGGTAGGGGTGTTTGCAGTAGGGGAGGGTAGGTAGGGGTGTTTGTGTAGGGAGGGCAGTAGGGGTGTTCTTGTGTAGGGAGGGTAGGTAGGGGTGGCTCTAGTGAGGGGAGGGTAGGTAGGGGTTTGTAGGAGTGGGTAGGTAGAGGGGTGTTTGTGCAGGGGAGGGCAGGTGAGGGGGGTGTTTGTGCAGGTGGAGGGCAGGTAGGTGTCAGTAGGGAGGGCAGTAGGGGTGCCGGTGCAGGAGGTAGGTAGGGGTGTCTGTAGAGGGGTAGGTAGGGTGTTTGTGTAGGGGAGGGGTAGTAGGGGCTGTAGGGGAGGGTAGGTAGGGGGTGTTTGTGTAGGGGAGGGTAGGTAGGGGGTGTTTGTGTAGGGAGGGTAGGCAGGGGAGGTTGTGTAGTGAGGGGTAGGTAGGGGTGTTGTGTAGGAGAGGGGTAGGTAGGGGTGTTTGTGTAGGTGGAGGGAGAGTTGTAGGACTAGGTGGGGGGAGGAGGAGGCCGGGGAAGGACTAGGGTGGGGGAGGAGGAGGCCGGGAAGGAGACTAGGTGGGGGGAGGAGGAGTGCCAGGAAGGACTAGGTGGGGGAAGGAGGAGGTCAAAGGACTCAGTGGGGGGGAGGAGGAGGCTGGGGAAGGACTAGGTGGGGGAGGAGGAGGCTGGGGAAGGACTAGGTGGGGGGAGGAGGAGGCGGGGAAGGACTAGGTGGGGAGGAGGGAGCCGGGGAAGGACTAGGTGGGGGAGGAGGAGGCAGGGAAGGACTAGGTGGGGGGGGAGGAGGAGGCCGGGGAAGGACTAGGTGGGGGGAGGAGGAGGCCGGGGAAGGACTAGGTGGGGGGAGGAGGAGGCCGGGGAAGGACTAGGTGGGGGGAGGGAAGGTCGCAAGGTAGGAGGGAGGGAGGGAGGGGGTCAGTACGCCACCTCCCACAACAGTAAACACACTTCTCACCCTGTACATATAACCAGACCTGCACCACATACTGTGCCAAGTAAAACCTCTATATAACGGACTTCTCTCTTCATAATTATAATCTGTTAGTTTTAGGGTTTCCACATTTAACGGACCCTCGATATAACGGACTTTCGTCACTATATAGTTCGTTAGATGGAGGTTTCACATCTAATAGACCCTCGATACAACGGAATTTCCTCTCCATGTAGTCCGTTAAATAGAGGTATCACTGTGTAGGTATTTATTATCATATAGTTTACATATAGCGTACAGTCAAGGCCATTAATGTATCGGGAAGGACAAGAGTTCACCGGCGGCGTTGTGGCTCCGTGTTTACAAGGAATGATTGACAAGAAATGGACGGCGTTCGAGTCTTCATTTATCTCTGGAGCGAGAACCTTATTTGACTCACATCAGTCGACCAGTAGTACGCCTCTATCAGCGCTCCCATCTCTCTCTCTCTCTCGTGCTTGGCTTTGTATTATATGCTATGTTTGGTGATTCTGAGTGAAATATTTGAGAGGAAATGTTAGCTGTGTGTGTGTGTGTGTGTGTGTGTGTGTGTGTGAGAGAGAGAGAGTAGGTCAGTAGGCCTATACCTGCAGACCCACGCCACGCCGGGGTATCTCCCGCTACTCCAAGCTCCCTCTGTTTACTTATTTCTATCTTACCTATTGCCTTCTACACACACACACAAATATAAGCGTGTGTGTGTGTGTAATACTACTACTACTACTACTACTAATAATAATAATATAATAATAATAATAATAATAATAATAATAATAATAATAATAATAATAATAAACGGTTTATCGAGTTGCAGCCGGTGTCTGAAAATATACAAACTTACATTTGATTTAGACATAATGATATGCGTGCGTGCGTGTGTGTGTGCGTGCGTGCGTGCGTCCTTGGCTCAGAATGTTAGGCTGAGATGCACGTAGTAAAGCCTCGAGGGTCAGCGGGACTCAGGGGTAATTTTTTTACTGAAAGGACAAACATTAAAACCTATAGCCAGGGCAGTGGACCTCAGCTCAGGAGTGGGAGGCGCCCAGGTTTGTAGATGACAGAGGAAAGTGTCATAGTCGGCAGGGAAGTGTCACAGTCGGCAGGGAAGTGTCACAGTCGGCAGGGAAGTGTCACAGTCGGTAGGGAAGTGTCACAGTCGGCAGGGAAGTGTCACAGTCGGTAGGGAAGTGTCACAGTCTGCAGGGAAGTGTCACAGTCGGTAGGGAAGTGTCACAGTCGGTAGGGAAGTGTCACAGTCGATAGGAAAGTACCACAACCAGTCAGGTTATCTTAAAACAAACTGTAATATTTCCTCGTCACACTTGGCCAGGTGAATCATGTCAGGTCAGTGTGGGTGAACGGACGTGGCGGGTGGAGTGAGGTCAGGCCGCTGTGTATGTGTTTATCCCAGGTTGTGAGTCACATCCTGTATTGTGGTTTATAATAATTGTTCCTCGGATTATAAATTACTATTATTTATTTCAATAATTTATAGCTGTATATAATGTAGGAATATATTTATCAATGTAGTTTTGTTATGTTTTGTAAGTTATTGTAGTGTTGTCGCCTCTCATCCTGAACCGTGAACCCAGAGATTCAGACTCGTGAACCCGAAGCATTTATGGACAGAATAATGGCATCAGTTTCCTGCTTCGGGTTCGCGAGTCTGAATCTCTCGGGGGTTCATGGTTCAGGAGGAGAGGTGACAGGACTTTTGTGGGTGACTGTACATGACTGAGTGTGTGTGAGGTAAATAAGTGTGTATTTCTCCGTGTGTATTAATAAGCATGTGTTTCACAGGGGAGGTGGGGAGGCTGCGGATAGGAAAATGCAAATGGTTCAACGTTGCCAAAGGCTGGGGCTTCATCACCCCCGATGACGGTGGACAAGACGTCTTTGTGCACCAGGTGAGTCTTGTCCTTCTGTGGTCCAGCATACCTGTCCTCACTGTCCTGTTTCCTCTCCTCCTCTTCCATGGTCCAGCATACCTGTCCTCACTGTCCTGTTTCCTCTCCTCCTCTTCCATGGTCCAGCATACCTGTCCTCACTGTCCTGTTTCCTCCCCTCCTCTTCCATGGTCCAGCATACCTGTCCTCACTGTCCTGTTTCCTCCCCTCCTCTTCCATGGTCCAGCATACCTGTCCTCACTGTCCTGTTTCCTCCCCTCCTCTTCCATGGTCCAGCATACCTGTCCTCACTGTCCTGTTTCCTCTCCTCCTCTTCCATGGTCCAGCATACCTGTCCTCACTGTCCTGTTTCCTCCCCTCCTCTTCCATGGTCCAGCATACCTGTCCTCACTGTCCTGTTTCCTCCCCTCCTCTTCCATGGTCCAGCATACCTGTCCTCACTGTCCTGTTTCCTCCCCTCCTCTTCCATGGTCCAGCATACCTGTCCTCACTGTCCTGTTTCCTCCCTCCTCTTCCATCCAGCATACCTGTCCTCACTGTCCTGTTTCCTCCCCTCCTCTTCCATGGTCAGCATGCACCTGTCCTCACTGTCCTGTTTCCTCTCCTCCTCTTCCATGGTGCCTTTCATCCTCACTGTCCTGTTTCACTCTCTCCCCTTCCTCCCTCTTCCATGGTCCAGCATACCTGTCCTCACTGTCCTGTTTCCTCTCCTCCTCTTCCATGGTCCAGCATACCTGTCCTCACTGTCCTGTTTCCTCTCCTCCTCTTCCATGGTCCAGCATACCTGTCCTCACTGTCCTGTTTCCTCTCCTCTTCCATGGTCCATACCTGTCCTCACTGTCCTGTTTCCTCCCCTCCCTCTTCCATGGTCCAGCATACCTGTCCTCACTGTCCTGTTTCCTTCCTCCTCTTCCATGGTCCAGCATACCTGTCCTCACTGTCCTGTTTCCTCTCCTCCCCTTCCTCCTCTTCCATGGTCCAGCATACCTGTCCTCACTGTCCTGTTTCTCCTCCCCTTCCTCCTCTTCCATGGTCCAGCATACCTGTCCTCACTGTCCTGTTTCTCTCCTCCCCTTCCTCCTCTTCCATGGTCCAGCATACCTGTCCTCACTGTCCTGTTCCTCTCCTCCCCTTCCTCCTCTTCCATGGTCCAGCATACCTGTCCCCACTGTCCTGTTTCCTCTCCTCCCCCCTCCCTCTTCCATGGTCCAGCATACCTGTCCTCATCTCCTGTTTCCTCTCCCTCCCCTTCCTCCTTCCATGGTCCAGCATACCTGTCCTCACTGTCCTGTTTCTCTCCCTCCCCCTTCCTCCTCTTCCATGGTCCAGCATACCTGTCCTCACTGTCCTGTTTCTCTCTCCTCCCCTTCCTCCTCTTCCATGGTCCAGCATACCTGTCCTCACTGTCCTGTTTTCTCTCCTCCCCCTTCCTCCTCTTCCATGGTCCAGCATACCTGTCCTCACTGTCCTGTTTCCTCTCCTCCCCTTCCTCCTCTTCCATGGTCCAGCATACCTGTCCTCACTGTCCTGTTTCCTCTCCTCCCCCTTCTCCTCTCCATGGTCCAGCATACCTGTCCTCACTGTCCTGTTTCCTCTCCTCCCCTTCCTCTTCTTCCATGGTCCAGCATACCTGTCCTCACTGTCCTGTTTCCTCTCCCCCTTCCTCCCTCTTCCATGGTCCAGCATACCTGTCCTCACTGTCCTGTTTCCTCTCCTCCCCCCTTCCTCCCTCTTCCATGGTCCAGCATACCTGTCCTCACTGTCCTGTTTCCTCCTCCCCTTCCATGGTCCAGCATACCTGTCCCTAACTGTCCTGTTTCCTCTCCTCCTCCTTCCTCCTCTTCCATGGTCCAGCATACCTGTCCTCACTGTCCTGTTTCTCTCCCCCTTCCTCCCTCTTCCATGGTCCAGCATACCTGTCCCACTGTCCTGTTTCCTCTCCTCCCCCTTCCTCCTCTTCCATGGTCCAGCATACCTGTCCTCACTGTCCTGTTTCTCTCCTCCTCTCTTCCATGGTCCAGCATACCTGTCCCCACTGTCCTGTTTCCTCCCCCTTCCTCTTCTTCCATGGTCCAGCATACCTGTCCTCACTGTCCTGTTTCCTCTCCTCCTTCCCTCCTCTTCCATGGTCCACATACCTGTCCTCACTGTCTGTTTCCTCCCCCTCTCCTCTCTCTTCCATGGTCCAGCATACCTGTCCTCACTGTCCTGTTTCCTCTCCCCCCTTCCCTCCTTCCATGGTCCAGCATACCTGTCCTCACTGTCCTGTTTCCTCTCCTCCCCTTCCTCCCTTCCATGGTCCAGTACCTGTCCTCACTGTCCTGTTTCCTCCCCCCCTTCCTCCTCTTCCATGGTCCAGCATACCTGTCCTCACTGTCCTGTTTCCTCTCCCTCCCCTTCCTCTTCTTCCATGGTCCAGCATACCTGTCCTCACTGTCCTGCCTCTCTCCTCCCCCTTCCTCCTCTTCCATGGTCCAGCACATCTGGCCTCATTATCAAGTAGCTCTGACCCGCCTGAGTTCTCTAAGTGTCATGTGGCCAAAAGCTCAACCCATATATTATAAGTAGGTTATCTTCCCTGTTCTCTAAGTTAGTTCTCCTGTGATAACCAGTTGTGTTTTGTTATCTCAGTGTTGTGTTATCTCAGTGTTGTGTTATCTCAGTGTTGTGTTATCTCAGTGTTGTGTTATCTCAGTGTTGTGTTATCTCAGTGTTGTGTTATCTCAGTGTTGTGTTATCTCAGTGTTGTGTTATCTTAGTGTTGTGTTATCTCAGTGTTGTGTTATCTCAGTGTTGTGTTATCTCAGTGTTGTGTTATCTCAGTGTTGTGTTATCTTAGCGTTGTGTTATCTTAGTGTTAATATAAAGTGTGGTCTGTCTGGTCACTACAAGAGGGAGATGTTACCAAAGAAGTCACTTGGTTCCTGAATGTATGTGGCCCATTCCTACCTGGCCACCATCACCACCTGGCCACCAATAGCACCTGGCCACCAACAGCACCTGGCCACCAACACCCACCCGGCCACCATCACCCACCCACCCACCTGGCCACCATCACCACCGCATCAGAGGCTTCTGAGAAAAGTTAAGGCTCATGGTATCAAGGGGAAAGTTTTAAATTGGATAAAACCATGGCTCACCGATAGAACACAGAGGGTCAGCGTAGATGGTGTTAAATCTGAGCGGGGCTGTGTAACCAGTGGGGCTCCCCAGGGGTCAGTACTGGGCCCACTCTTGTTCATAATCTATATAAACGATCTAGATACTGGGATCCAGCAGTGACATACAAGTTTGTGGATGACACCAAAATAGGGCGGAGATTAATTCAGAGCAGGATGCAAATGCACTACAGGAGGATTTAAATAAACTGCACGAGTGGTCAGAAAAATGACAAATGAAATTCAACACCAGCAAGTGCAGCGTACTTAATATTGGAAGAACAAATACTGTCATTGTATACAGCCTTAACAACATCAACCTAGAGAAGTCGACTTGTGAAAGAGACCTAGGGTACTTAGAAGCCGGACCTACGGCCAGGAAAAAAGATGCGTTAATGTTCGAAATAAGGCAACAGAGTATTGTTTATATCTAGAAGTGTAAGTAATAAGAGTGCAGAGGTTTATTGCAACTATATCTTACGCTCAGTCAGGCCGCACCTCCATTATGCGGTTCAGTTCTGGTCCTTACTTGAGAATGGATATTGACCAATGGAGTCAGTGCAGCGAAGAATGACAAAATGATTCCGGGACTTAGAAACCTTCCATATCAAGATAGATTAAAGAAACTAAACTTGCATTCCCTAGAAAGACGAAGAGTGCGGGGAGATATGATAGAAGTATTTAAGTGGGTGAAAGGCATCAATAAAGGCGATATAGATAAAGTTCTTATAATATCTCGAGCAGGATAGGACCTGTAGCAACGGATTTGTTGATAAGTTTAGGTTTAGGAGGGATAGGAAGGAACTATCACAAATAGGGTGGCGAACAAGTGGAACAAGCTTAGCAACTTTGTAGTAAGTGTGGAACGCTGGAAAGTTTCAAAAGGAGGCTGGATAGATTCATGGAGATAGAGAGTGGTAGTAACTCTCGACAGGAGCTGCCATGCTCAGGCCAACCGGCTTATTGCAGACTCCTTATTTCCTTATGTTCTTATGTTCTAACCCACCTGGCCACAACACCTACTGGCCACCAACACCCACCAACACCCACCCACAACACCCACTCCACCCAACATACCTGACCCTGCCAACACCACCTGACCACCATCACCCACCTGGCCACCAACACCACCTGACCACCATCACCCACCTGGCCACCAACACCATCTGACCATAATCACCACCTGACCACCTTCACCTGACCACCAACACCACCTGGCCACCAACACCACCTGACCACAATCTCCACCTGACCACCTTCACCTGACCACCAAGACCCACCTCAATCAACACACCCACCTGGCCACCAACACCATCTGCCATCAGCCGTGAGCAGGTATAGGGTGAAAAGGAAATGTTGTGTGCGGATGGTCGGCATTTCTCCGTCAGGCTGGTGCTGGGCAGGTAGCGGACCTCTCAACCTACCGCGGTCTTAATTCACTTCATATTCATCTCTTCCTCCTCCTCCTCCCTCCTCCTGCTGCTGCTGCTGTTGTCTCTTCTCCTCCCTCCTCCCACTGTACCTCCTCCTCCCACTGCACCTCCTCCTCCTCCTGTACCTCCTCCCACTGCATTCCTCCTCCCACTGCATCCTCCTCCTCCTGTACTCCTCCTCCTCCTCCTGTACCTCCAGTTTGTCTTCCTTAAACAGTACTTCCTCCTCGTCAGTCATCCCTCGGCACTACAGTAAGTCATAATAATGGCTGGTCACCTTCAGTACAGCAGCTTGGTAGGTTAATTACACATGATTTCAGTAGACAGTGGGTTGGTGTGGCTGGGTATGGCTGGGTGTGGCTGGCATACTGGGATGTGGCTGGTATGGCTGGGGTGTGGCGGGTGTGGT